CGCGGTATTACTTCGTTCAGTTACGTATTGCTGTGTGCTTTTTCGGTTGGCTGAACACTCCACAGAATCGGCACTGACCGGTCACCACCTGCCATACGATAAAAAAAAAAAAAAAATTAAAAAAAATTTCGCTACGATCTTAAACGCACGCACACACACACACACGCGAGAGCGCGCGCAACCGAAATTGTATATTAATTTTATTATTTTTTTTTTTTTTTTGCGACCGTGTCGTCGAGTGGTTGACGACGGCGACGACGACGCCGACGACGACTAGCCACTACGCTACAGCGCATTGCTGCGACGACGACGACGACGACGATACCGCCGAGATCTCGTGTGTCCCCGTGCGCGCGGGTGTCTGAAAATCGAATAATAGTAATAATCATTATTATTTATTCGTTTTTTTATTTTTTTGTTTTTATTCTCCGCCGTGTGCGTGTGTGTGTATGTGATTTCTGCGCGTGTTTCCGAAGTGTCGTGTCGTGTGCGAGCGTTGTTTCTCAACCCGTTTCGGTGGTCGCGGACGACCGCAGCAGACGGACGCACGGATATAATATCGAAAATTTTTTTTTGATAATATTGTCATTTCGTTGTATTCAATTTTGTAATTCTTTTATTTTTTTTTTTTGAAATAAATACGTACGTACCTACGCGCGTTTATGTGTATATTTATAAATAGACACATATATTTTTACACTACGTATGAGTTCATCGTATACATAGATTAAATTCGTTTATATACATATCAAGTCACGAACAGTCGAAAACATATCATACTTCAGAGAAGATATCCCGACTATATATATAATCGTACTGTTTAAATTATTTTTATTTAATATATATATATATATAAATATACTTTTTTTTTTTTAATCCAAATATAATATATAATATCATTAATGTTTTTATTTTGTTAAATTTAATACGCACGTCCGATGTAAAACTCTCCATTCTGTTTCCAGGGTCCGAATACAGCCACTGAGCCACCGGCGCGTTAGCAAACTGAAGACAATAGTCAACACTACTGGAACGTTAGGTGGCAAATCAGCAGCTGCGTCAAAGATTGTTACAAGGAAGTAAGCTCTCGACAAAACACACACATTTTCATCCCCGTTGGTTTCAAGAATCTAACTAAACTAATCGAGGCCAAAAATTTATATTTTAATTTATTATAAAAAAAAATAAATAAATAAATAATGATAAGTAATAATAATTTATAAAAATTACAAATCGTCGTTTTGCTGAGAAAATAAGCTTGATCTGTGATAGTATTATTTTTTATTTAAATACTCTTTTTAAATATAATTATTATTGAGATCACATATAGTTTTCGTTTTTATCGTTTTTATTTTTATTTTTTATTTCGCTTCGTAAAGTTATTGAGAAAACAACTAATAAAATGCCTCAAAGTGCGGGCGTACTTACAAATTCTGTTATGATAACTTTAATACTACTGATCAGTTCCTTGTGTGGATGTTGGAGTACTGATGCGGATCAACATGTTGCTTCGTCTCCCACATGTGACAGGTAAGATAGGTCTAAATGCCATTTTTATTATCTTCCATTAACTGCATCCATTTGGCACAGATGATTTAATTGTATTGCTTTAATTAGTATATATTGTTAGCACATTTAACTTAAAATCATGATTTATAAATTATCTCTTAGTTTCATTTGTATATTCTAAAAATAAGAAAACTCGCCGTATAAAAATTTGGAGGATAATAATGTTGATTGGCCTTCCTTGCGCGAGTTATTTAATTCCATACCTCGTTTGTGCTCCTACTCTCACTATACTTAATTTCGTAGCTAAACTAGATTGATGAAAATAGATTTGTAGATAAACATACCAAGTCCTTAAATTTAATTTTCCTCGATTCAAAAATATTCACACGAGTTTTTACGGTTGCATTATTTTTAATAATAAAAATACGTATGAGTATAGTTCGCAAATAACATTAAGATTCGTAAATTTAGCACGAATATAAAATAATTTAACACAATAAAATTTATCAATCTTATTGTATTTTCTACATAGTGCTATATAATGCAATTTCCATATCATATATTTTCTCCGTACTTCTTTGATACATCTGGCGTTTCATTGCTTATTTTTATTATAAGATTATGATAATAAACTTATAGAACCAGTAAACGTCATATTATTACATAATTTCTTTCTTTTTTGATAAGGATAAAAATAATATTATATTAGTATAAATAGTGGTCAAAAAATAAAAAAATCCATGCAATCTCACCGAATGAATTTTATATAAAATCATCGAGTTGGCCTGTTTACCCCCTCCGGGACATCCCGGGACGCCCTGTCTGGTAACTTTAAGTTGTTTTTTTTTTTTTACTTCTCCTTTCTAGGCGATCTTTGCCTATACATTATAACTTGTTTGATACGAACCAGCTCCCGCATTGAATTAAAATATTAATTCAAGGTTTGTATATGATATTTATCTTAGCCGTCACTTATTTTTAGTGTACTAACCATTGAAATTTCAACTCGAAAATTATACATAAGCGTATTGCAAACACGTTCCCAGAGAATTTTATACAATGTGGCCGTATTTTTTATATAGGTACTCATATGCACAGTTTTGAAAAGATAATTAAAATTATTTTTTTTCTTCAAAGAATTCCCAATACTTTTTGGTGGTTATAATAATATACCTATTAAGATGAATTCGTACTTAATCTGCTTTCCTTGTTGTCAAATCACGTACGTATAACTCGTTTTACTCTTGACGTCATCACAAAATAAACGAAGCTTGACAAAATATTCTCTAAAATTAATCTCATGTCAGTAAAATGTAGAGTAATTATTACTTCGTGTTTTGTCTCGTAGTTTCTATTTTTGCCATTATTGTATGTACCACGTTTTTATTTTTTTTTAGTTACAATGCGCACTATTTTTACATTATTAATGTTATTCATATTATAAATTATTATTATTATCGCCGCAGTTTACATAACATACATTTTATTACTCGTATTTCCACCCAAGTCTTACCAGAGAATGTCTCAATAGACCATATGATTAATAAAAAATAAATACATGATATAATATTATCTTGATTATTTAATTACTGTGCTCTTTATCAGGAAAAAATCTTATCATATTTTTATCTAGTATATCGACATACCATAAACTTATACTAATAATATTTTAAAGAAATTATTTTTATAAAAAATAGTTATATAAGGTCGAAGCACTTGAAACTTGAGCATTCCTTTTTTGGATATTAAAAGTTTTATTCCACTTAGGTTGACTTTTTTTAATGATCCATATCGAATTATCGAATGTTAATCGTAACGAGCAAATTAAACTTTTAAAAGCTTATTGAAGAATTCCGTGACAAAATAACTTTTTTCTCTTACGAGATAGTTCAATTTTTGTGGCGTGATTTCAGGTCCCATCTATTTATACCGTTTTGCTTTTTTTTCCTATACTCGTGTTCACAAAAATTTTGGCAACATAACAAAGATTTACCCTAGTGTTGGTAGATTTTTCTCTCAATCTTATGTCATTTAACTTCCTGCGCCCCACTACGTTGAAAAAAAACCACACGATTCTGTACATTTGTGTTTTGTATTAATTGTACGATGACAAAATGTGCACTTGCTTATTATCAGCAAGTAGCAACAATAAGAACATCCCGACAATTGACAAAAACTCTGACCAGAAAAAAAAAAGTTATAATGAACGACCGTTTACTTAACAGCTTGTGTTTTGCAATTTCTATATAAGAATTCTCAAATTTCGGGGTCTTGGACGCGCGACAAAATATGAAAGCTTAAACCGAAGTAGTTGTGCGTAAGCTAAAACAAAATATTTGTTATTACGCCAGTCATCCATACGTGTGGTATTTATCAATACAATGATATGACTTTATGGATAATAATAATTTTTACCTTTTCTCTCTCTCTCTCTCTCTCTCTCTCCATCATTCTCTAAATTCAATTTAATGCTGGTGAATAGTCGCACAGCGTAGTACTATTTGAAAGTGAATTGTGTAGGTCAAATTATTCGAAATCGGTTCCATTGATTAGTGTTCGGTCTATTAGTTCCAGCGATCATAATAAGTTACGTTTATGACTGGCTTATTATTATTATTAGGTATTATCAATCGTATAATACAAACTCTACTGTAGTACCTATGGCCATATTATTTGTATTATTTACCTGCGCGTGCCAGCAAATTGTTTTAAAATCTGCACACGGTAATCGTTTGATATAGTATATTTACATGAGTACACATTATATATTATTATTGTTACTTCCATCTGCATGTCTATGTTATAATAACAATTTTTGTCGTTGGCTACGAGGTGCGTTCTTCCAGAATATAATAGTACTTAATACATATTTTCAATCTCAGGCGTTTGTTATTTTACGTTATTTTCGTTTCACGGACCTAGGATGTAGGTCATGAAAAAAAAAAACATAATAATAATTGCGTGTGTACACATTATATTCGTATGTACTGTTATTTATTATTCGTACCTGTGTCTGTATGTGTTTCGTCTTGTGGCGCGCGCGACATAGGTAGCGTCTAACGAAATAGCTGTGTAAGTTGTGTATTGGCAACCCGTCAATTACTCCGTCTATGTGTGTGTATAAAAGAGAGAGAGAAAGAAAAAGATAGAGAGACCAGAGTTACGTATATACCTATACGTATGGCCGATTGCCGCCGCAATCGTCGTCGACGGGCAACAGTGTTCTAATCGGTGTCAATGTCAATCAAATCCGTTTTTATTTATTTGTTCTTCAATTATCATGTTTACGCGTTAGTGGGAATATAGTGAGAAACAGAAAATCATTTTAAAACGTTTCCGAACCGGTAAAAACATATCTTTGGAATTATATAATATAAACAATCCATTTCGTAGGTTAAGTCACCGCCGTATACCATGCAGTAACCTACGCATCGCTAGCACCTATTATTATAATATAACATAATATGTACAACGTACGTGTACGTTATACATAGTTGCTATGTGGTACAACACTAAAAAATCATTATAATGCTCAAACTGCACAAATTGCTTTATTGGATGCGCATTCACACTCGCAGTCGTTTATACTTCAATATTATGTATTATTATTGCATCATGACCATCCCCATCGCGAGCGTGACGTGACCTTACATACATCCTATACTCGTAACCCGTGTAACAGACGAACCATATTATTATGCAATAGCACACCTAGTGCCAATTTGCTGTTGCTGGGTTTCTTCTTCTTCTTATTATTATTATTACTTTATTAACAGTGTATAATTTAACAACACAAGAGTGTCGCTAAAGCATATTCAGTTGATCGAGCAGTATGAAATGAGGAGGACATATTATAGGTGCTAATTAAAGTATAAATTGTCTCTTATATTATACGTGTGCATTGTACAGTATCATTACCCAAATTAAGGCCATACAATTTCCAAGACGACTTTCTTGTAATAATTATCAGTAGATATCAAAATTTTATAATATACCACCATCAAACATTTACGTGAAAATGCAAAGTGATGACGTGTCAAGGTCGCTCCAGACTCATGGCTAGGACATGTACGTTGAAAAATAAACAATGTGTCTAATTTTTGTGGTTTTTGAAAACTCATAATTATATCTAAGAAAATAGAATAATGTCACATAAATATTTAATTCGCATTGTATAATTATTGATCATTAGTTTTCATTATTATCTGAAAAAAAAATAATAATAAATCTAACTAAAATTATGATCATTAAAAAACGAAAATTTTTATGGTTGAGTTCATTTTTTTTATAATATCCAACAGTAGTATTGTTTTTAGAATTGAAATACTAGAATAGTTTATTCCTATCTTTAAGTTACTAATTGTTCTTTACTATATTGCATCATTTCGATGTTTAAATTTATGGTTTTATTATATGACGCATTTGGAAATATGACTACAACTTTTTCAATTTTTAATTTTACCCATCTTTAATTGAATTAATAAATGCTTTATTTAATTTTTATTCAGTTAAATAATTCTTGCTATTTAATGCATTTCAGCAATATTTAATTTATTTGGCCATACCTGTTTTATTTTTATATTATAGCGTACTTCCCTTCTAATTTTTCTTAATAATGAAATCATGAGCATTTTTACCTACATAATATAATGCAATTTATTAAATATGTTTTTCAAGGTAGTAGGTACAGATTTTTTGCTTTAAATCGAATTGAAATCATTGCCTGATTGCACCTCTAGTTATTAGTTGTAGCCTTTAACACAGATTTGTGTATCACAACTTTATTAGGTTCTTTTTATTTTTATGCACTTAAATTACAAATATTAAAAAAAAAAAATTACTTAAAAATTAAATAGTGTTAATAGATAAATATTATTTTACACATGATTTTTTTTATTTCATAAAAAAATTATTAAATTATTGTTTAAAACAAAATTATGCATCTGATTATATGATTTATCTATTATTTAATTATCCATTTAAATATTGCGTTATGAAGTATTTCTATATATCAAATTTTTTAATTATATGATTTTGAATATTTTGATTATATGGTAGATTCTAATAATAATAATTGTCGAGCTTCTTTTACCTCGAAGTTAGCAAAACTTTATGCTTTTATCGTTTGTACTTTAATTACATAAATTATTTGAATATTTTTTTTTTTTTACTACGAACACTCACTTTACAGATTAATGCATTGTTTTTATAGTATTTAATACCTATTGAATATTTATTTATTGAAAAATTGTTAGCACTTATTTAAATTTTAACGTTATTTCGTAGACAAAGTAAAATAACTATTCATTATCTATAAATATAGTATGTAGTAATTTAAATACAACAAAATGTATACTTATATAACTATTAGTTTTACTTGGTATCTCTTATTTTATTCTAAATTATAATATTGAATATTTAACTAAAAATATTTAAGTTTAATGATATCGAGTTATGAACTATTTATCCACTTGACCTAAACTTTCATACTATAAATGTATAAATAAATGTATGGAATGCCGGATAACTGTTACTATTAATGTATTCCTATATTATTTTTAATGCATTATTTCGTACATCAAAACATCAAGAAATGAAAAGTAATAAACTTGATTGTTTTTAACTTCAAGCTTTCAGAAAAAATAATTAAAATATTGTATAGCAATAATGAACAATGTATTAAAATAAAACTATTTCTATATTACACACGTCTATACTTTGAGTTTTAAACTCATTGAGTTAAATCATAGTTAGAAAAATATTATTCATTTAACGAAATAAATGTACACAAATTAAATAAGTTATTAATTTTAGGTAAATAAACAAACTATTTATTTATTCGATAGTATATACGTAGAATAAATAATAATTTATCGAGTTATTATTTTGTTTGCTGAATAATATTTTAACCGTTTTATTAATTAAATGTAGTACTTTATTGATAAAGTATACTTTATTTTACGTGGTTTCAGTTAATTAGGTACCTTAATAATTCTCCTTACTTTTACACAAGGACGTTTTACACATTTTTATGCATTTTTCAGTTGTCGAAATCGTACTAAATTAAAAAGTGTGACGATACTTTCAATGACACACGTCCTTGTATTTATAATTTATGATTGGTAGCTACCTTTAAAATCTAACTTTAAAAAGGATTATCTTCAAAAATTACTTATGTTTTAAATAAATAAAAATAGAAATGGTTTAAAAAAGATCATTTAAATTTAGTAAGAGTGAATATTATTAAGATATAATGAATATTAAGCTAGTAGATAAATTAAAAATATTTTAATTTAATTTTTTGTATATAATTATTATGTTTTTATTTCAGTAATATTTACTGTTATGGTCCATTGCTGCATGCGATTCAAATGTCTAGCATATTCCCAGATTCGAAAACGTTTGTTGACATGAAAATGAAATATTCGCCTAATGAAACCATGAACATTTTCTTGGAAATGATGAAAAAGACAGGACAAAGGCCATCAAAATTAGAATTGGAGATTTTCCTCAATGATACTTTCGAGAAGGAAGGTAGTGAATTCGAAATTTGGGATCCTTCTGATTGGAAGCCAGAGCCCAAATTTATTGGCGATATTAAGGACCCAAACTTCCAGGAATGGGCTAGAGGTTTACACTTGTTATGGAAACTTCTCGGTAAAAAAATCAAAGATGATGTACGTTTACATCCCGACCATTACTCAATAATCTATGTCCCATATCCGGTAATTGTACCCGGTGGCCGTTTTCGTGAATTTTACTACTGGGATTCGTACTGGATCATTAGAGGTCTATTACTATCTGAGATGTATACTACAGTCAAAGGAATGCTTAGCAACTTTTTATCGATTATTAACACCTATGGTCATATTCCAAACGGCGGTAGAGTTTATTATGCTATGCGGTCTCAACCCCCTATGCTAGTGCCAATGATGAAGAGTTACATCGAAGCTACAAATGACACGATATTCCTTAAAGAAAATGTAGATATACTGGAAAAAGAATTTAGCTATTGGATGTTAAATCATACAGTAGACATAGAAAAAGACGGAAAAGTATACACATTGGCCAGATATAAAGATTCGTCAACAGGACCCAGGCCCGAATCGTACAGGTATTTAGTTTTGAATTGTATAGAAGTTAAATCAAATTGAATTTATGTTTTTAAAAATATTAATTAAGGTAACAAATTATTTTTGTTCAAATACTAACAAAGAGGAATAATTCTTGTTTTATTATAATTTCACATTTTTGTCTGTGGTAATAATTACAAATTACAAATATTTATTTGGAGAATTAGTACCTATATTTCAAATATTTATAATTTCATAATTTTTTTATTTTTACAGGGAAGATATCATGAGCGCACAAACATTTAAGACCGATAATGATAAAGAAAACTACTATTCAGAGCTAAAGGCCGCTGCGGAATCTGGGTGGGATTTTTCCAGTAGATGGTTTATTCTAAATGGAACAAATAAAGGTAAATAACTGGCTAGTATTTTAACTAATATTTATATTTCCAATAACGCCTTAAAATCGTCCACGGCATATTGTGCTTCTCGTGTTTGCTTAAATAAAAGTAAAAAAAAAAAATACCACTGTTATTGTAATAGTAACAACGAAATTTATATTGAAGACAATGAAATAAAAGCGCAAAGTCATACATTTATTTTAAAACAATAGTTTTGGGCTCAGTGTACTGACTTTATCTGTACTTAGCACTACCGGATATTTTTTCTTGTATAGCTCAAGGTTATATTATGTATATGGTTTTTCTTTTCTGATTATTTATTTATCATCATTAATTTTTTTTATAAAGTAAATTTTTTTTATAAAATCATGACTTGGTCAACCATGACCCGTGATCTCCATTTAGATTCATATCAAGGGACTTTTACTTTTATTGATTTATTACTGTTAAATGTAGTATAATTTTTAATTTTTTCTATTATTATGTATATAGGTTTCTATGGGAAATTTTTGTTCATATTTTGCCCTATAGAACCTATGCAACGTGTAGATACCACATGCGTGTGCCGGAAATGTAGTAAATAACAATACATTATTATTTGCCTGTAGTATAAAATCTATTGTTTGAAAAATAAATGCTATATTATTAAATAGTGCTTTAAATTCGAAAATTCCTTTTTTTGCTTTGTTTTGTTTTGAAAATATTTACATGGTATAGTCATAATAACAATTAACAAACAAATTAACTTCCAAAAATTTCTGAAATTCGTCTGTAATTTATTTCTTTATATAAATATCTTTTTTTACATAAAATTATTTGAATGAATAACTAATGAAAACCCCATATAACGTGTTAAACATTTCAATAATCTTAATATTATATCCTTGATTCTTTCATAAAATTTTAAATTTAATTTGAGCATCTGTGTTTTCTCAAACATATTATTTACGTAATTATTACTACATAATATACATTTGATTCAAATCAGTTAATACAAAAAAAAAAGTCACGGAATAGTTAATAATAATAAGTATAATAATTTTACTAAAATAATATTACGATTTTATTCGGAATATTTACAAACTTAAGTATTATATATTAAAAATACATACTTACTCAATTTATAATTTCAATTTCAGTACTTTCATAGGATATATTATGATCAGGTAGAGACTTTCAAAATGATTAGATAAATATAGCATCGATAATTTAAATAGAAATCTAAAACCAATTATTTAAAACAATGGTATTTTTGGTATACTATTATTTATTATTATTATTATTTAACCGTAATTGTATATTACATCACATTATATATTGCATATTTTCACAAAATAGTCAAAACGCCTTTGAACACTATATTATTGTTATTATTATAAATTATAGTAAAAACCTTGAACATTATGAATTTTTAAACAAAATATTTACTCTTCAGTCTTCACAAAAAAGATAATATTTCATTTAACGCTTGATGTCTAAATTTTTCTCCTTACTTTGTTAAAGCGTGTTATAGGAAGGAAGTATAAATAAAAATTAAAGATATAAAAATATTTGTCAAGAATTTAATTAAAAATATCACGTGTTTCAAAAAATAATAAAATATCACGTATTTAATAAAAAATATTAATGATTATAAAGTTAAATATTTTTTAACTTTAGATTCTGGGTATTGATTTTAATAACTCAGTGTGACTTAAATTGTAAAATAAAAATATTTAGGTACATACAAAGTATTTAATTAATGTAAATATTTTAAGTAATTTATTAACTATATGAGTAAAAACAATATAAACAAACATAAGGTATAATTGATAAATATTACTTATTAATATATCATAAAATACGTATAATTGAATTTCTATAAATTTTTAAGTATTCAAAAAATGGGAGTTGATGCAGATTACATACTAATTTTAAATAAAAATTAATAGAAAATATTTGTTTTAAATGTGCGCATCATAATAAAATTAATAAAGTTTATAAATTATCACGACCTTGAAATAGGCTTCTCTGTATATATCTTCAATTAAAGCTTGTATTGTTAGTCAACAATTAAATCAGGACTAGATTTACGCTTGGTGGTTGCATTATTTTTATTAACGTAGGCATGTAAACATATTACATCTAATTTATTTGTACTGCGATAATAAAATAACTATTCTTTTAGGATTGTCTTGTAAGCTTAAACAAAGTTAAAACTGTTAAAAGTATTGCTCAATACAGAACTACATTTAAGTTGAGAACACAAATTGAGAATTATCGTTAATTCACTAAAATTACTAAGACATTTAAATCTATAATGTCTAAATGTTATAGGTCATTGCTAGAATAATTACCATTTTACTTTAAATGATGTCCATTATTTTTTTCTTTTTATCCACGATTTCAACATATTTTTATTCATTATTTAAGTCTGAAGTTTTTAATTGAAATACAATTGGGTCTATAAAGTAAATGTTTCTAAACCATTACTGCACATGTGAAACCACATGTATTAATGTCTCGTAAATGAAACTAAAGCACTTTCATAACGATCATACATTACTCTTTATACTACATAAACGACGTTTAGGTACTTAAAATGCAACATCACGTTAATTATTTTATTTATTTTTTCATAAATTATCTCCAATACATATATTATTTTTTTGCTAAAAACATGTTCATAACAATGTGAAAAATTTTATCTATCAAAACTTAATAATAGCTCAACCCAACGTTTGATAGTACGATGTTTCAATGAATAAAATATAATATTACTTTAGGTCCGGTCAAAATAATTTATGATTTTCATAATATCCAAGTTAGTTATAAAATAATTTAATTTTAATACTTATTATTTTTATCTATTTTGCACATTATAAAAAAAAATAAAATAATGTTTAAACGCAATGATCGATAGATGTGTTAATACAATAGACGTGCACTTGTACATCAAATAACATTAGTAGGTAAAAAATAAAAAAGCTGCATTTTATCGGATAACATTGTCGTGGGTTAGGGTGCGTACAAAAACTTTGTATACAATAACTGATGGCATTGTATTATTACAGGAAACCTGACCAACTTGAAGACACGGTTCATTATTCCGGTTGACTTGAATGCTATAGTGTATTGGAACGCCAAGATACTGAGTGACTTCTACAGGGAGTTGAATGTGTCCGACAAAGCACTAAAGTACGAAAACATAGCCAATAAATGGATAGAAGCAGTAACGGCGGTGCTGTGGCACGAGGAGGTGGGCGCATGGCTCGATTATGACATGCTGAATGAAATCAAGCGTGATTACTTTTACCCAACCAACATATCGCCACTGTGGACAGGATGTTACGACCCAAAGAAGACCGATGACTTTGTGTCTCGGACGCTTAAGTACTTGGAAAAAACACAAATAATGAACAACCTGGGGGGCATACCAACTACCTTGGAACACTCCGGTGAACAGTGGGACTACCCAAACGCGTGGCCCCCTCTCCAGTACATAATGGTCATGTCACTAGATAACTCAGGCGACAACTGGGCCCAAGACTTGGCGTTCGAGATAGCTGAGCGATGGATGAGGTCCAACTACAAGGCATACAATGAGACCAACGCCATGTATGAAAAGGTAAGTCCGAGATGGTGGTTTGAATGGAATAAATCAATTGATTAGGTGGAGGAGAATATTATGCACTATAAGAATTATTATATTTTTATATTACTATTTTATACTTGTAATTAACTCTTTTTGATAATGTATTGATCATTATTATTTACAAAAATTATAACCATCATAAAAATATATTTATTTTAAACAAATGTTTTAAGTAGCTATAAAATAGGTGTAAAAACACATTGATCGGTATGCAAGTCGATTATTAATAATAGTTTAGCTGGTGGACGGATTTCATATGAGATGTATTAATAGAAATTTTTTTTTGCAATACACGTCACCTAGTCAACAAACTTATCTATGCCCGCTCAATGAATTATATTTTCATCAATTTTTATGTATACTCATTCACCGCGTATTTCAACAGTATGATGCGACCGTACCTGGAGGTCACGGTAGTGGAGGTGAGTACGAGGTGCAACTAGGCTTCGGCTGGACCAACGGTATAATCCTGGAGTTCCTGCAGAAGTACGGATCCAGAGTGACGGCCACGGACAAGTTCGTCGAGGCGCCGCAGACTAGCGCCAATATGGAAGCCAGCAGAAGCAGCACTGACTACAATACCAAGACCGTATCTTCAACGACACAAGTCATGACTGCTACGCTTGCGATACTGGCCACGATATCGGCCGGATGCATAGGGTGAGGTGAGTATCATTTATCAAGTTTAAAATCTATTTTTACTTCTCAAAAGAGTGGTAGCATATCTTTAATGAAAAAACCCATCACTCTAATCCTTTTGCTGCGCTCTTAATGTAAAAATTGTTTCATAAATAATAACACTATAATTTTTACAATTCAAAGTTCTACAAAACAACTTTTACTAATTTTTTTTTATTTTTATTTGTAAAAATAACTGAAGAAAACACCCGCATATCTGCTTGTTTCTGTTTACAAACGTACAACATAGCACATTTGCAATGTTCAGCAAAACCAAATGTACCTACTAACAACTTACAAATATATAAAATATTGGAATTTAAAAATAATAATAATAAATTAATTTAATAATTAAAATACTACAAAACCAATGTTAAAATAAATATAATATTTTTACCCTTTAAGTTTGATAATAGGTTTCACTCTAATTTGAAGCTAACTACACAAAATTGGTTCTACTTAATGCAAATAGTCTATTTCGTACGTTTGTGAGACAAAGACATATAAACATACCTTTTCTTGATCATTTTGGTAACAATATAAAATGAATCAACTAAAGTTGGATGACAATTTTCAGGGGCAAAATGGTTTCTTCGTTCGCTGGGAATAGATTTCAAGAACTTGGGCTTTGTTTTGTCTGTCTGATAGAATTTTCAACTGAAATAATAAATGTGCTGCTAACATTGGTTATGAAACATTTTTTTTATAGTACAGTGCATATCTAATACTTAGGCGTGCGCAGGGGGGATTTAGAATATACCAAAGCATCTCTTGTAGAGTTATTATAATCATAGTTTTTAGTTGTAAGATTTTGATCAGAATCATAAACTAAGATAGTTCATACACTCATAATATCTTAGTATTAGTGCTGAAATATTTTGTATTTTTTTTTTCTAATAAAAATATTGGGTGTCGAGACAAAATCAAAATATATTAACTAGATTTCATAATTAATATGAAATACTAGCATACCCTGCGAATAAAGTCTGCATACATCTATGATCTAATTACAGAATTAATGAAAATCATTAATAGTGTGAATTAGTGTGTGAATTAGTCATTCAATACTAAATTGTGTGTATGGGTATAGAGAATGAAAACGAGAGTGTATAAGTTTTTTTTTTTTTTTGATTTGTTTGTTATTAATTTTTAACATTTAAATTTTTTACTATAGATGATACTTAATATATTAAAATTGTATTTGTCTATAATTTTTGAAAATTAAAAGCATTTTTTCTATAAAATTATTGATAAATGGTATAAGTTCAATGCTTTAGAACGAATCAATAATAGAAAAAAAAAGTTCAACGGCAAGCTATTCATTAATGTGAAAATAAATGATTACATTTTTGCTTAAAAATTTGAATTCAACTATAAAAAAATGTTGTCTTAGAGAGGTTATATCGAAAAAATATTTTAATTCTATTTTAAGTAGGTATGTACGATAATAGTGTATAGTCTTCATTTATCATAAAACAATTATCATGTAGGCAGTTTTCATACAACGAATATGTACGTATACTATATAATATATAATATAATGCGTGGGTCCGCTAGCGAAATAATTAAAATTAATGATTATTTTAATTTATATTATTATTATATCATAGTAAATGTGTTCGTTCACCAGATAAAGTATACTTTGCGTGTCAAATGTCATCGATATAATTTAAATATTTTACGGAATATTATTTCATCAGCATATTATAATTTACAATAATTATACATAGACATTGCAACTATAATAATGATTATGAAGTGGTTTTATACGCAATCACAATGGTTTTTCTTTTTCTACATAGTTGGTAGTTTTTCTCCGATAGCGATTACTAATTCATTTCGTGACAAACAATACAATATCTTTTTACAATTGACAGCTGTAATACTTACTGTTCGTGCGTATTATATTATACATCAGCTATCGAAGACATTTATTTTTTTTAAACTAGTTTATACAAATAATTATTGGCATGTTTTATATGAATTGAATAACAAACAATAAATGGATGATTTTGAACCCAGTATTTTGAATGCAATTTGAATACGTACAAAATAGGAATAAAAGGAATAAAACCGTGTGCTATTAGTTAGCTTTTAAAATATAGCTATCATAAGTTCGAGGGTAAAATAATACTCAAAAATTGTTGTCACCCAGTTAAGATGAGCCTTACACTCAATGTTCGAACCCTACATGCGCTCTGGTCATGAGTTGGTCCCGGAGTATCACTATTTCATTGTATTGTTTCCTCTCAATACTAATGGACTTAATTATTAATATGTTTTACCAAATTATTAAAAAATAATATAATTTTTTTTCAAATTCTTTTTTTTATAATGTAGTGAATTTTATATATCTTTGTTAGTTATCAATTTATACCGATATGACATTAATTTAGACAAATTTGAGATTATTTAACCAATTTTATAAATATTTTATGATATTAATTATTTTAAAACAGCCAATATTAAAGACATTGGCATAGTAATGATGCATTATGGTCATATTACTTTTATCAATTAATTTCGAAATGTCCAATGTATGTATTAATTTAGTCATACTAAATCAAATACATTGGCTGTTTAACACAATTAACAAATACGTTGAACATTTCGACATAAATTAATAGATATATCAATATATATTACAGACCTACTGTGACATATTGGTCATTTCAAAACCAATCAATAAAGCTTGTAAAATATGTAAATTACTACCATTATGTGCAATTAAATATTATAATTTTGTTTTAGCAAAAAGTTTTTATACAGTTGCACCAAGTTACTGTAGATTAGATATTACTATATATTTTGGCTATAATATTTAGGTAGGATTATAAGTTATAAAATAGTAATAATAAAAGGGGTAACTATAAAATTGTGCGTAAATTTGTTGAAACGCATCACCTTATTATCGTTTAGATTCACAATTGTTTAGTCCCTATTCATGCTAAAGCTCTAATAATTTTATTTTAAAGTTTAATTCACTTAAATATTAAAGGCTATAATCTCACAAAATTGATTCTGTTGAACGTACATTTTCCATAATATTTGTTCGTAAGAAATATTCATGGAACTACACATGTAAGTATAACATTCTATTGGTCTTAATATAAAATTAGTTGCTACTGTAAATCGTATGACGTTTAAATAAACATAATAAATAATAATAATAATAATAATCATAAACGAACAATATTTCAGACGCGCTTTATGACACTAACTGCTACACCAATAGGTAGGTACCTACAAATATTTCGTTGCGTATATACCGCGATTAGAACGTGTCTATAATATACGACCATAAGATAGTGTGGTATCGAAATAAGCACGTGCAATGTAAAAAACTATAATATTATTATTGTCTTGAGACGTTTTCTCACCGCAGCCGCGTAACACCGAGTACCTACTTAGCAGGTCTCGTCAGTGTAGCTAAGTTTTACATGTCCATGATTTTTGTGATTTCGCAATGTTTCCGCGACAATATAAAATCAACAAGTATCTAATATTTCATACCTTTATATGTTATACATATAGATCTATATTTTGTTTAAATTAACATGACAATAAATATTTGCGTGTATGGGGCCGAATTACACCAAAAATTAACTCTTGAAAATACATTTTACCTCTTAAGGAAAATTTTTATTAGTTCATAGATAAATATCCATAATAAATACAACAATAGAAATACTGATAAAACACGTTTTTTACAGTATATATTATTTAAAAAAAATATTCATTGATCGTAAATAAATATGTTTTCTATCGTTATGCTTTAAATAAAAAATTATTAATATTATAAGATTAGGTTCCATTTATGATATTTGACTAAAATTAATTTTTTTTTTTCTACAAACGTTTATCACAGATTACAAATATATATATATATATATGTATAATATATTCAAAACAAAATAAAATCATTCGAAAATTATGATTTTAATTTTGAAGTATTCCATATTAAAATGTATACGTTTTCTGTTTGTTATCACCCACACATATTTTATACTATAGTAAAATTAACTAATTTCACATACCTACCGTTATAAAATTTCAATAAGCAAAAAATAATATAAGTTTACTTATTTAAAAAACTTATATTTTGAAACGAAAAAAAAATAGCTCTATCAAAAGTTGCATTAACTATTCATTATCATTAATGTTATGTATCATATAAATAGGTACCTACAATACGAGTGCCTATACCCTAAGAATATAGAAATACAAAAACGTTAATCTGTCCACATCATGCATTATTATCATCATTCATCCAAAATCTTTAAAATCTGCAGCGTCTTATAAATTATGTATAGATATTTGTCGATAAAATATTTTTATGATCAATATATTATAAAATTAAATGATGACAATCGTGATTAACTTAAAACTTTATTAACTCAAAATCGTCAATACCTCGAAAATGTTGTCTGATTCATTAAATTTGTGAAAAAATGATGCTTAGTTCTTACTCGAAGATTTAATTTAATTGAAATGGTTAAAAATACTATTCAGATGTAGTTGGGTAAGTTTTAGAGCGTCTATGACAGGTAAACTGTATAGGAGTACATAATAATAAATTAATAACATATATTATTTATATAGTAGAAAAACGAGTAAATCTGATTGCAAACGCGGATACTTAGTACATATAAAAATATCTAGAATACTGTACCTATGCGGTTTGCCTACAATATATCTAGATCGAACTTTTTTACATTGTGCAATTGAATTTATATTTTCATTAAGTATTGTTTATTTTATATATATAGGCGATAGATACCTACTAACTATTGTTTTGCATACCATTTATATTGTGGAAAGGGAAAAAATAAGTCATTGCATTATTAATAAAACAATAACGAATTAAATGATATGGCATTCTTATGTATGACCAATACCTCTACATAATGTGGTGTACATAATACATAATATAATATAATATTATACGCCATTTAATTTGATTGTACATTTGTACGATGTCGTTGTTTAATGATAATAGAGCATGTTTCTGCAATTGCATATGCCTAACATCAAACCCCCATTATTACTCATTCAATTTGTATAACACGGCTACAATATTGATATTAAAATATAATGAAATATAGAAATATATATATATATATATGCATGGCATATAGATCCGATTATTATATGCCACGCAGTATCACAACTATATAATTATTGATGGGGATGCGTGAATATTTTACTTGGTCCAATTAAAATATAATTTCTCAATACCTAATCAGTTAGATATACAATATAGATATAAAAATATACTTTAACATAATTGGACTCTAGCTATAATATCAGTAGATTAAATAATGGTAATGTCCTATATTTAAAATCAACCCAGTTAACCTAATATGGCTGAATGACTATATTAGGATAGCGTCTCCAGCACCACCGAGTAGTTTTTAGACTTAAATAAAAATTAGGTGAACAATTTATTCAAACAAATGAATGAACTTGAAATTATAAATTTTAAAATGAAGTATTTTTTCGAAGTACAAATGAATAGATACATTTAGAATAGATACTAGAGACTAGAGAATAGAGACTTTTCTTATACATGTATATTGGGTATTTTGTTGTACAAAAGGATAAAAAAGATATATTTTGTATTTTTAAACATTATTATTTATACTTGAAAGTTATTTCATAAACTAAACCAACTAATTGATATTTTGTGTATTTCTTTTGTTTCAGATGTTTACAAGTTAAATTATGTAGTTAAATTATTATAAGAACATTCCCTTATGCAAAATCGGAAGGATCTCTTAATTATCAGGTCAGACGTATTTAACAAAGAGGTTTACTTAGTTGATCATTAGTTTCTTTATTTGTGCTATTACATTAGCCTAATTATTGTTTTTTTTTTTTTTTGTTTTGTTTTTTTTTTTTTTTTTTTTTGTTCATGTGAGTTAGTGTTATGCTTTAATTTATTGGCACATGCAAGTTTTATATGGTCAAAAAAAATAAAATAAAATATACATCTAAAAAAAACATTACCAAGCATACGGAGAGACCAACTTTGAATGGATAGTATAGATCCAGAAGTAGTTTTAAAGTTTTAATCTGAACTTACTAGTGTTTTTATTATAATAATAATAATAATAATATATTAATTATTAACTATTATTAATTAATGGAGTTTAAGTTCCTTTGAGCAATCGTATTTCTGTGAATTCAACCAAATCAATTATAGAGTTGTTTGCACAGTATGATATTTGCTTGACATTTTAATTGAAAAATAAAGCAAAGTGATGTAATACGTTAAGATTTTATAAATTATAATTTAACACGTTTTAGTGAGATTTAAACAAAAAACAAATTTACGCGCCTATTTCAGTTAAACGGATAATAAAATGTGTACATGCTTCATATAGTCGGTCTATATGTTTTATTCTTTTTATCTTTAATTTATCATCGTATTTAATTTTTTTTTTAATTAATAATGTGTCCATGAAATTTTCCTTATATATCTTTAAATAATATATTAAATATTTAGGTATACATCTATCTAAATTCGTTCTAATCCCCGATTTAGAAAGACATATAACTAAATTTCAATAATATGTGGTATCGCATATACCTATATTTTTAATTATTACTCTTTAGTAAGTTATATTATTTGAATGTATAACTAGGGATATTTTATTATTTATTTATTTAATTTCTATTTTATACTTGGCATAAATTAAAATTAGTATAAACTGAATGATAATATTAATAAAGCTTAAAATAAAATAAGCTTCTTCATTTGTATATAAAAATATATTACTATGCGTGCTATAAGACCGTATTAATTACACAATAAATGTCATAGAAGACCACATAATTATTTCATGACAATATATATATATATATATATATATATATATTTAAATGATAAATTCATAATTATTTCAATTACGATAAATAATTATAAACTCATAATAAGCTTAAGTCAATGCCATTGTAACATTTTCACACATTCCATAATATATAATATTATAAATTATAATATAGGTGTCTGTTTCTTGATTTTCACGTGAACGATATAATATTTATTAAAACAATGGTGCTGTGTAAGACTATCGAAGTAGTTGGCTCAAGTTAATTTTTATTGTTATGTAATTATTTTGTTTTGTTTTTAACATTACAGCTCTAGTGCAAATAATGGTTTTATTCGAAATAATTATACCGCTTCCAAGTAGTTCCTATACAGTAGAATCCTAGTAACTTTAACACAATAATATTAACAAATACATCGTCATTAATATTTTAACTCTGTTGTTAACATACATAAACATTTATTTATATTACACACAATAAATACAAATATTATTATATAAAAAATATTGTGTAGTTTCATGGGTTATTTTTTACTTTCGCGCTGCAATCGAATCTAGTCAATCGCCAGTCATTTATAAGAACATTAAAACAGTACTGGCACGATTACTCCGTTAAGTGTATATCTTAACAATCACCCAATAAACCTGTATGCATAATGTGAGTATGGTAAGACATATAATTTCCAACACTCACCTTTACGAAATAGAGAGAGGGGAGAAAGAAATTGTTTAAAATTCGAGTACAGCGATGTTGAAAGAGAAAAATAATCTAAAATTTCGGACTTTATTAGTAGGAAAAAAAGTTAATTTAATTTCTTATAACAGACATACTGATTTCATAATGCCACCTTAGTGGTAGTTGTTTTATGTTCACCTCACACTCACATATACAAACTATATACACACACCTGTAGAAACGTGCAACAAGAACGATCCATGATTGTAGAAAGCAGCTTGACCATAAAAAAACCCTCTCCTTTCGCTTAATTCTAGTTATCATAATGTTTAATTTTAAATCGTTTTTATATTTGACATTGAAATTTCATAAATTTTACTACTAAATATTTTTATCTAATAGTACTAAATAATATATTTATTCAATATAATTTAATTCAATTCAAATTTTTCGTCACAGTTGATATTCATTACAAATATTATTATTTTTTACAACTCACACTTATATATATTTTATACATAATACACTCATACTGAGTACAGCACACGTATTTATACATAATAAATGTGTATATGTGTGTGACTAGTCGGTAATTCAAAAACAAAGTAATACCTACCATGACATAAATATTGTTTTGTACATTTGACCATATGATTTATCTTGCCGATCAAAACGTAAACCGATTAGTGGAAATTAAATCATGTGCAATTATTCAATAATTAATTTTATCATATTTATACATATTATAAGATTTTTTTTTATTTATAAAAGAGAAAAAAGAAACAGTAAACATTTTATGCACCGATTTGTACCTGCTTGCTTTGTTACCATTTTTACTTTTAAATTTAATTATAATATTATATGCATCAAAATTGTATGTATATATGTATTATATTATACATTATCCATATATACATATTATATTGTTTTATTTGCACTGTTATAGGCTTATATACATATATTTAGTTTTGTTTTCAATAATTTTATGCTAAACATGTTCATTAATCGTCTTTTAAAAGTGTACCTATTTAATCTAATCCGTTAGTTGTTATTAATACTATTAAACTTTGTCAAAAGCCTGTATTTTATAACGTTTTGATTAGCATTTGTAAGAGTTGGCTTTTGATTGATTTTTCTCTCTTTTTTCTTAACGATACCTGTATGATAATTATTATTACTATTATTATTTTTATTATTATTACTATTATTATTTCGCTACTATCATTATTCATTATGATTAAATAATTTAATTTAGTAGCTATGATTTATTAGAGAATGGATAAACTTATTTATTTAAAAATTGTTGTACAAAACGCGATGTGATCACGTTGGTTCGGCTACCTTCCCCTTTTTCATATTGCACATTATTAATTACTTATACCCATGTGCATTGCGCGCGGGCATTACATTACAATCGTTATATTTATATTATAATTGTAATATTAAAATCCGAACAATATTTACATGTAATAATCCTATACGTCATTTACCATTATAGTTACATCCGTACGTATAATATTACGTATATCGTATGTGTGGTGTATTATTATTGTTATTATTGTAATATACTATAACTAACGGCTAACAACCAGCTACCGAACCAACCGTACGTCTCATCGTATTTTTTTTTTATTATTATTATATTACCGTTAACATTTTTTTTCTAGTAAAGTTTGTTGTGTGTTTTTTTTCATTTTCACCCGTAACATAATAGTATATAATATATTATATTACCTATATTAATACCAATGCATATTCATAATTTATAGCGTAGTTTGGTCCGACAATCGTACGAATGGGACGTCGCCTGTAATAATGTATAATATTATCATAATATTGTGTGTTTATGCCAATCCCACGGACGCGTTGTCGGGCATTTGTTTGTAGTCTCACAGTGACGTTTACCAAATAATTTTTATTGTATCATATATAATAATATATGTATGTACATATACGTATAACATTATTATTTATTTTGTACATTTATTTATTTTTTTTCATCTGACTCATATCCAAAATCAAAATATTACATACGGTGTTTATACGTAGGTATACATTTATACGTTAACGTTTATGACTACATATATAAATTCAAAATTAATATTATTATGAAATCTTTGAATTTATTCATGTGCACGCATATACGTGAACACGTATTACCGAGCATTGTTATATACAGGGCTGTGAATCAAATGCACTAAAAAAGTTTTGACTACAAGCATACCCCAAAAACTTATCAAATAAATATCTTGATAATACCAATTATGCGTATTAACTATATGAAAAATAAAAAGGGCAAAATTAGTTTATTTTAAACAAAATTTAAAAATATTAATGAATAAAAAAGCATTTATTTAATTATACAAATAATAAAAATTACTTAATTTTTTTTATCAATGAGGCTATGTAAAAAAATATAATTTTGATTACGTACAACATATTTTTATTGAACTCAATTCCTTCTTTTACCAAGTAGCTACAGAAAAATAATCATGCAAATTCACAGCCCCGCATATTTATTGCTATATCTACCAATGTCGACATCAACGAAGATTAACATCATATTCAATTTTGACCATGTGTTTTGCATTATTAATCACCGTGTTACGTTTACCTAAGTAGAAGTAATTTGATATCATAATACTATAATATTAGCATTTCGACCCCGAGAACATAATATTATATACCTACTATAGCTGCAAACGCATTCAGTCGTGTGTACTTACTGCGTATAGTGTAATAGATTGCGTACAAAAATAACAATACCTCCTACACCTACCTCCTATTAGTTATAATATATTCCTACCTAGTTTTGTGCATGCTTAGTTGTTGGTGGGCAAGCACCGTTGCTGTTTCGCGTAATTCAGGCTTAAATCATTCGCTGTTCACACACGCACACATACATTATCGACATCATCTACAGGTAATATAATAATAATTCATTTTTTTAATATTATTTAATAGTTTGTTAATATTTTTACGTACCTTGCTTATATATAATATTGGTATTTATTTTATAATAATATGGTTACTATTTAATGAAATTACGATCGGTGGCGCTGCAACATTTCGCATAATATCGTTTGACAAATTGATGATAATAAAAATCACTTCACTGCACCGTGACTCCCAATTATATTTTCTGTGTATACTCGTTTATTATTCATCATCTCTTTAGCCAATTGCGATCAATCGATCATCAATAAAGAATAACGCGTATTAATAAATGGCGATTAAATTCGAAAACATTCTCATTGTTATAAACTGACGATATTTTAGTTGACAAACAATACGATAATAGCGAACAACGGGAAATGATCTTTTTCGTCCAATAGATGAATCGTTTTTACAATCATAATGTCATAGACGTTAAATTGTTACGTAGGCGTGATTCGGTACGGCTGATTTTGTCTTCTGCGAATAATAAACCCTAAGCGTTTTATCCAGTCCGCGAATTCAAATACAAGATTACAGCTATTACTCTGTGACCAGCTGTGTAAAGGAGGGTAGGTCAAACAACGTTATAATGATCAACTAGCCGACGCCGATCATAGCCGTTCATTAACAACTTGTAGAACAACAATTACTTCCTATAGCTTTAAGTATATAGCGCCACTGATCTATCCAACCCGCGCGAGGACGTATGCCCAATTTAAAGTAAAAAATTTGATTGGTGCATTCCAATAACAGTGGAAAAACTGTATTAATTGTAAAACTGTACAATTAACAACGTATCGTCGTGCGTATACGAGATCAAGGAAGTAGGTACGTCCTATTTAACAGAATTTAATACAGATACAAACGTATCTAAACATGATGATCGCTACGTCGAGATTTTTATGTCTGTACATTTCACGTATTCTCGCATTCTTGCTAATTGATTTTTCGAACTCAAACGATTTTAATGACTTTAA